GTTGAATAATCGACACGTGGTTCGCTCAGTCACGTCCCCCGCCATTTACAATTTCGAGCAATCTCCGATCGTCGGCGCGATTACGTAAAACCTAGCGAAAATGAATCGCTCGCGATTGATGGGGGAATTGATCACCGCAATTTGCGCAAGTCACGATCGAATTTTCGCTAATTTCTCGACCAGCGAACGGTCGGTGAACACGCCCATTGGAAATTAGTCGAGAAGATCGAGATTTAACGAAATTGAATGCGAATCGATGGATTCTATAAATAATCGACGGAGTTCTCGCGCGGCGTGAGTAGGAGGAACATTCAGACAACTCGTTAGCCAAATGAAGGTACCAACGGTAGTTGCACGAAACTCTAAGCAAGTTGCAAGCAACTACAAAGTTACGTGTTACAGCTATTTCCCGAGAAACCACGTTAATATCTTAATCAACGTTAATTCTTTTCCCTCGAACCTGACTTTTAAATGCGTCACTTAGCTCGTGATTAAGATTATAAAGAAAAACCGTCTTTCCGAATTAGATAAAGGGATCGTTATCGGTAGATTACGAGTTTATAAAAATTGCAAAAATACATAAAGTACCAGAAATAGAGCACTCGTCTAATTTGTAGTAAGAAAAATTATGAAACAGACCTCTGTTTCAATTTTATTTCCTTGCTTGTATTCATAAAAATCCGCGGTCTAATTGATAGTCCTTTCATTCCTGAGGAAACCTATTGTAATGCTGACCAGCAAACATTGGGATTTTATTCTTGTGGAATGCAGCTTACTTTCGAAAGCCTTGTACACAGTGGACCGCGGTAAGGTTAATCGCAACAATGCTACGCTCAACTGTTGTTAAGTCTGATAATTCTAGACGCGAACAAATTTTTAACGAGAGAATTTCCTGTTATCGGAATTTCCAGTTAGACGTGAAAGAACACGAACAATCGTGAGAGAAAACGAGCGTGACAAAACTCTTTTAAGCTTCCAGTATCTTTTCCTGTCCCTCTTCTTGTTTTTTTTCCTTTAAAGTGATTTCTAGACGACCAACGTGGGAAAAAAGTCGCTTCTTATTTCGGAAAGCATTTACGACTTACACACGCGCTATGGATGAAGCCCCTGAAGAATGCATGGAAATGAAAGTCACGCTTCGGGAGAAATACGACAACGAGGCGTGTGGGTGAAAGCTTTTTGGCCGTATAAATGATATAAAAGCCGCTCGACACTGCGGGTTGAGCCTGAAAATTTCACGGAGCTGGAAAGGAGCTTTTCTAACCCGATAAGGAACAAGTACTTAGACCGTACGACGAAGTACGTTGGCATTTGTCGAATTAGAGAATTATCGTTTGCAGTATTTCTTGCAACTGTCTTCTATCGAGAATGTTATTTGTTGTTATTGGTTATTTTTGCTCGAGCTGTGGTTTAATATCTTCAATAGCGATCAGTATTTTATTCCAATTGATTCGTATTCGATGAATATGATTTTTAAAAGCTATTTATATTTTAATTGTATTTTTATACTCTCGTAATCATGCGAAACTAAATTCGTGTATCCTGATTACGTTATAAAATAATATATCGCACACACATTACGCATTAGAATCGAAAGCGGTCGAAGAAAATGGAACGAGTTAAGCTCGAAATAGGACCACAAAAGGGATAAACTCGATCTGCAAATGATTGAAGAGAGTTACGTATTAGCACATATTACGCAATAGTGGAATCTAAATGTGGAATTTGTATTTGTGTTCCTTTAGGGAACAGTAATAATGATCTAGACATGATATAGATTCTACGTAACAAAATGTAAGTAAACATATTAACAAGACTTTATATAACTGAACTATATTTATTCAGTCGATAAAATTTCCGTCTCTGATGAAATTTCAGCGTACGGGAAACAAAAACAAATTTGCAATTTTACTTCTTTACGTTCATTCGCATAAATTTGCGATAGACGCGATTATTTTTTCGTATTTCGATTCACCGTGTTACTAAAATTAATTAGTTGTCTTTCGCATGGTTTCGCTACTAAAAATAACTGTCATATATTAATATTACTATTAACGTTATTCTGATGTTTACTGTGAGATATGAATAAATAATGCAACGGTTTGACGAGCGGCTGCAATATTTTAAAGGCGCATGACGGAGACGCAATTTGTGCTTAAAATGCATTCCGTTACCTCATACTTGGCATAAGCTAAGTTAGAGCTAGTAACGTAATTGTTCTTGAAATTTCTGCGCAGAATAAAATTTAGTCTTTTACGACCTTATTGCTTACAAGAAACACACCAATGAATCAGAAGAGAATATTGCTTGTATTCTTATATAAATGTGCATTAAGATACCGATGTAACTTTTAGGCGTTTTTATTCGAAATATATTTCATGCAGTGCTTTTTAAATGAAATACCTTCCACGTCGCATAATACGAATAAAATTTAAATCCTTTATAAAGAATTTACACATTGTTGAATTTCCTACAAAAAGAACGGAAGAATCCAATTAACGCGTTCATTTTTGCACGACGCGGTTGAATTATTTGAATTATTCCCCTAGCGATATAGTCGAGGATTTTTATGTCGCGACTCTGCTGCCCACCTAAAATAACATCAAAATCGGATCAACGTTGAAGAACAATCCTCGATCTTTCGAGTCAAGAGTCTAGAATTATTGGATGAATCGGAGTGCGCGATATTTTTACGTCCATCCAATGAGAAGTTTTAGAACTATTGAAAACAACTGTAATAAAATAGCGTAATAAAGCTACAGAATTCGCCGTTTTGTAGTGCATTAAATTATTATTCCACGTTTGGATATTTTAGATAATTCTTCTGAGGAAATAAAATCGTATTGGACACTTTAATCGTATTGGAAAGCTTTAAATTCAACATTTATATTACTTAGATATTACTATTTTAATAATATTTAATTAATTATTGTATTAAGATAATAGAAAGATAATCTTGTAACTTAAAATACTTGAAGTTACTTAAGTCTTGATATTTTATAGTGTTTTAAATTATAGAAAATAATTATTCAGATTGTAGATAATAACAAAATATTAGTCTTACGATTAGACACAACACAAGCTGTAAATTAATATAAATTCCAAGTATTAGATCTAGCATCAAAATAAGCGCAACAGTGTTGCGTCAATTTTGTTGCATCTCTCTAAAACACAATACTAAAACTTTTCCACGCGATCCCACCATGAATCTACCGTCGGTATTTTCGATATTTTCGCATGATCACATTTCGACGATAATGTAATTTTCGCAATCGCATGTAAATACCGTGTTATCGCAGCACAGCGTGATAAAGCTGTTTACGAAGGAGGAACGGAATTGTCGGGAAAATGCAATCTCGTTTCTTGATGAAAAGTGTCCCACACGTACTACTATTGTATCATCAATAGCGATTCATTGAACCGTATCTTGAAGTCTCAAAGCCAACTTGGTTGTCTTATAGCTAACCACCAATACAAGTTCGATTTCATCAAACTAGAAATATTTCCCTTAAACGCTTTGCAAATCGATGATGTGGGGTATAACTTGACTACAACACATTCTTACGACTAAAATAAATTTGCCGAGATCGATAAGTTCGTTAATTACCTTTATTCGATCATACGCAGAATAGTTTCCCAGAATAAAATTTCTAATTATTACTTTGGTTCAAAAAGGTAAAGGCACTCAACGTAGGCTAATTGTAACGTAACTGATTTGACACAGACAAGTGTTCTGTTTGTAGAAGCTATTTTGTCTGAGATTAATTGGGATGATCGATTAATGCTTTCGAGTGTCGATAAACAAATTCCACGTAATAATGAATATTTGTTGTAATTTGATAAGCTTATATAAATTGTAAGCGATGGTTATGGATGAAGGAGAACTATTTTTTTACAATAATTTGATATTGTGATTTTAGCTTACAATATTATCTGAAAATTTACTTGATTTTTGCAGAATTTTTTGAACAATAAATTCTCTGTATAATAAATAAAAAATAAACACGTGTAAAACAAAATACAAGTAAAAATGTGCATATAGAATAAGAAAAGACCTCCGTTATGTAAATGGTACAATGGGAAATGTATGAAACATACTACATATTGTGACAAACAACCCATTTCATAGCTTAACAATTGTAGATAATATCCGTAAAAATATTCGTGAACCGTTTTCTTGTGTCGGTCGATACATGAATCGTGTAACGCGGGATCTATTCGCGCAGACGCGAATTGAATTTTTAACCACTGAATTTCGTAAAATTTTCCAATAAAGCTACGCATGTCGAAGGGAAGCAGTTGATGTAGAAATCTGTCGAATTAGAGAGTTTCACAAATTACCAACATTTCATATAAAAGTATTTAACATAATGTCAATATTCCAAGTTTGTAAAAAAATTATATATTTAAAATTTCAAAGTATAATATTTTAATTTATTACGTATAACGTAAATCATCTGTATTTCTATAGTGAATTTAAACCTAATAATAGAGTTATATCTATGAGATTACACAGGCGGGATATTCAAATGAAATCCCTAGAACTCCCGACCCTCGAGAAAAAAGTTCCACTCTAGTATAATTAAATTCTCGTTGTAATTGCTGATTTATTAGATTAAGAAATAAATTAGGTAAAAACGTGAAAAATACAGAATTACAAGCTATCATAATCATATACAGTCACCTTTTACATCTTTTTTCCATTCTGAGCTGAACCTAAATTACTAAGAACAAATAGTTTTAAGGAATTTATAATACTACGCTGTATACTGTATAGTATGAAAATCAGAAGTTTTTTAACTGTTTATTGAGAAATTTATGTACCTAATCGATCCTCTAATCCCAGCAACTAAAAAAATCATCTGCGCAACGACTCTATCTTGTTAGCGGGTGGTCAATAACGTCAGCATAATTTTGCTGTGGTTTAATCGGTAACGGATAAGCAAAGACGCCTGCGCGACGCGCGTCCACTCTGTCTAACCCGTGGCATTCAAAAGAGGTGAACGTCACACGGAGCGCACCTGGCGGTGATTCTCGGCACGAACCTACGAACCTCCTAACGCGCAATGCAGTGCGTAAAGTGAGTTCTTCGAGCCTTTGTGTTATACATACGAAGCTGTAATAGCTAGTTTGCGGATTTTCATGCAAATTCATATTGTAAAGAATATAATTAAAAAAGCAGATTGCTTTACCTACCAAGTATTATAGAAAGCAGTTCGATATTTTATATATTTTTCATATATATGCATTCTGTGCAATTTTGTACTTTTGCTATAAATGCATAAAAATCTGCAGTGTAGGTAATTACGGAGGTAATTAGTGTGAACTGAAGAAGATAGAAAGAAAACAATCATAAAATCGACCACTCGATTCGTGCTGAGGATTAATTGAAAGGTGACGTCAAAGTGCCGCGACTCAGTTGTAACGCACCGGTCGAAGATATTAACACATACTGTTAACTTGGAATGTGTAGTGATCGGTAATCTCGAATCATGTAATTTAACATTAAGATGACTTGACATTAAGATTAAAGATCACGAGTTATCGTATATTCACGATGATTAACCCTTGCAAAAAATTCATTCTTCTTTGTATCGTGTAAAATAAAATAATACTGAGATAAATAATAATAAGCGTATTGAGAAGAGAAGATAGGGCAGATAGTCTACATAATGGATGCTCTAGAATTCTTTCTTTAGAAAATAAAAAATACTCTGACCGTATAATAAAAGGTTATCATATCGAGTTGATTAACTACGTGAATTCTGTTGAGTGGGTTCTCCTTTATCTTCCCAGTTTTCCGTTTCTTTCAGATTGTTGGTTCTTTGTGATTGGTTATTCATGGAAATTTATGGTCATGGGTAGATAAATTGTTTATGGACATATTATGTATCGTATTAACGCTTTATGACGATTGTTAGAAAATGTAGAAGTTTCAAAGCAAGCAATGACAATACTATTTAAAACATGAAACAATAAAACAAAATATACAGTGAAAGTTCGAAAGCGATGGAAGAACTCAGTAAACGTTTGTGCAAAATAATTTGTATAATTGTATTAGCGGGATGAGACAATAACAATCATGACAATTAATGTTGCATTTAATATATTTCACATGCGTTGTAAAAGAATTTAAGTTACAAGTTATTAGTATAGTAATTATTATACATGTGCAAATAAATTATTTATTAGCTATAGCATTTAAACATTATAATATATAGTACTTTAATAGATAAAATGAAGTTATGAACTGAATAAATTCAATAAAATAGACAATTTTTTTAATATGAATTAGCTTATTCTTATAAGCAAAATATTAATGGCGTTATACGTAGTTAGTATGTAGTTAATAAATATTTTCATTTCACTTTTTCATTATCGATTTCTCATAAAAACATGTCTCATAAATGTACGTGGAAGCTATGAGTAATTGTAAACAGTGAAAGTTACTTAATTATTAGTCACCAATCATCATTCACAACATACCAATCTGTATTAATCTGTATTATATTTTCTATTTAATACTTTATCACATGAGAGGAACGACAACTTTTCAAATAATCCATTTGTAAATTTAAATACTTCATTTCGTTAAGAACAAGATTCAACACAAGAGGGCGCTAAAAGTGCATGCGAAATGTCGAAATTGATCATTGGCCAAAGTTTTATCCGTATTACGAGACGAGAGAATGTATGACGACGTGACATATTCAGGAAAAACTGACACGTGTGCATTCGGCTGCAATAGTGTGCGTGGACGACAGATGTATCTTGATTCAGAGTCACGTGTTCATCACTGCTAATTTTTCGTCTTACACGTAACATATAACAGTATTGTCAAAATGATCATAGACACGTAGTGGTCACGTATAGTGCTATAGGTTGTGCATGTTTCGTATTGCGTAAGCTCTCGCAAAGATTGTACAATGCTTGTAAACGACCGATCTAATTCCATCCATCTACGAGCATCATTGATCGCAATATTGATTACATATATTAAATGCAACTAAATTGGATCATCATTGGCAAATAATGAAGATAGACATTGAAAAGCAGCGACGAAAAATTAGACGCAATTCTAGTGTGATAATTTATTAGATGTTCTTTTTATACAATGTATTATGTATCTGCGTGCACTTAGAACTATGAAAAACTGTTCACAAATAATATGCAACATGTAAATTATGTATATGCATAAATGCAACGAAAATTGGAATTTTATTAATCTTATATAATTTCTATTTCTCTAATGAGAGTAACTTTCAAATTCCAGTTCTTCTTCCCGTACCATATTGTATACAAAAAGAATTTATTACAATAGCTGAAAAGATACAAATATTTCCACTGTTATGACAGACATATGTATGTTATCGGTTATAGGTTATATTGATAAGTAATGTAAAGCAACTTATATTCTCTCTCTCTGAAATTAACTATTAAGCTCAAATTATATATAAAATATTTCCATACGTAAATTCAAAGAGTTTTGATGTTTCAGATTATAAAATACACGAATTGTCATCGTTATGGAGCACCAAGTGTTGCGCACTTTAAAATGTTCTTTCGAAGTCACGCGTTAATAGATCACGTGACTTAGGTGATTTAGGCGAAAGTAACTTTTTTTGCTATTCATTTAAACGTAATTTATTTTCCTTAAAACTAATATCCCTTTCAATTTATTTACGAATTGAAGCAAAAATAATTTCGTTCTTCGCAAACGAAATTTAATTACTTTATAGATATTAAAAACGTAATTATGAACAAATTCTGTACAGCGTTCGTTTGAAGCATAAATTTAAAGTGTCAAGTCATTGATTTTGTTGCTTTTAAGATTTGTAAAACAATAGCTATATACATATAACTCGAAGTTGACTTGTACATCTATACATTATCGTATGATCGTACGATATCACATTACAATATGAAAACATGTGGCTCCTTGGAAATTTGCGTATGCGATGTACAATAAAATATCGAGCGATGCTTTCAGGATAAGCCCATACTATTTCAAGATACAAAGCGTTTGACTGGGTGTAGACTAAATGTCAGTCAAGGTCGAATCTCATTGCAGGTCAATCAGCTTTTGCATCAGTTTTTCGGTATGAAGTAATCGATAAAAATTTATAAAAACACATGACACTTTTCATTTCATCTTTCAATAAATTATTCATTCAAGAATACGTACAAACATAACTTACCTTATATTGACGAAATGATCTAGCTCGAAACGTGTGTCTACGTACGTCGTACGATTTGCTGGTTGGAAAGCGACTGAGGTAAACCTAGGGTATTCGTTGGTTTCAAAGTCTGAACAAGAATGATATTGGCGCAAGCGCATTCTCTATAATCGTAGAGGTTCTCAACATTGGCTCGACTAACCGTTGCTATAACCAAAATAACGTACATAGGTACGTAAATATAGAATTAAGCACCACGGATATCTCAGTGATAAAAGTACGTTATTACGAGTTTGAAAATAGAATGTTTTTTTATACAGAAAAATATTATTTGAAATAATTTTGTAAATGAAAAAATTTGCTTCGTTTTTTCTAGTAATATGTGGTATGCAGAGTATTTTGAGTGCTGTAGTCACTTTAGACAAATGCGCATCACATGAAACATTTAAAATTAGATTATAGTTATACAATGGATGCTTGAAATAAAATAATTCGAGCACAGTAAACAATAAAGATCCAAATTTAAGATAACAAAATATTGCATTGAAGCTTTTCTTTAAACTTCTTTCAATGATCACAACAACTTAGAAATACACAAAAATAAATACGTATAAATACAATTAAAAGTAAATAATAACTAAATATAATTAAGATTTTTCACAACAAAATAAGGATTAATGTCATTCTGTTTACATATATTCGCCATGTGTATATCGAAAAAATGTATATATACAAACAAAGATACTTCCTTGAATAAATTAAAGTACCACGTTTAACATCTTTGTATTTATTTTTTACATGGTTCTATTGTTTATTTTCCAAGAAAACGAATTAAAAATAAATGTGTCCAAGTGGGATGTCATATTTAATAATTGTTTCATAGCTACGACACTGCCAAGCATACATGCTGATGATCCCGTCCATGAAGCCTAGAAGGATAAGGGGGACATGGGAATTGGTGGGGATTCATGAAAATGACGACGTATCGACCCTTAAATAACGGACCAAATTCTCGAACGTTATACGACTCAACTCGCACGTACCGTCGCGGAAGCCTTCAATTGAGAGTCTCTGGTTTAGAGGTCAGTCAAGGGCACCTTTCGTGATATTCGTCGAATTTACTAACGAAATTTTTCGATGTAAGGTTGACGTACCCTCACACACACATTATGAAACGTATTGCTTTTCGTTGAAACGTCTTTATCATTACGCGATACAGTTCATTGATAAGATGTATTCATGAGATGTCATTTCATGATGACGTAGTCATGATCTGACGTTCAAGACGTTCGATTGAATTGATAAGCAGTCACATGTAATTGAAATTTGCATGATGCAACTGAAGATTGAATATTGAAAAGAATTCTGATATTCGTTTCCACACAGGTATAATTATAACTTCGTAACTTTTAATTGGATATTTGTTAACTGATCGATAATTTTAACGAGAATTCCTAGTGCACACGCCGTTTTCAGGTTCTAATTCTCCTAACGAAGCTTGAGAGCAGAGTTTCGCTCTTTCTAAAAATGCTGCTTGAGCATCTTGCACTTTATCTGGATTTCCTTTCCACGTTTTCAATGCTGCATTCTTTGAAAAGTAAGATTATTGGGAGAACTTTCGTATTTTATAAATAAATGAACTGTGAAATTATGAGAAAGTTTTCTATTCTAATGGGAGTTAGGATATTTGAAGATACTTGTAAAGCACGTCCGTAGCAAAACGTAAGAGGCCAAGGCTTTCTCCCTTCGTAAGCGTTAATAGCGTTTAAATTTAAAACAGCATCTTCATCCGATTGTCCTCCGCTTAGAAATATAACCGCTGGTACTGCTGGCGGCACTGTCCTCTGTAAAGCTGCTAACGTATGTTCGGCAATAATCTGTACATATGTTTTAATAATTTGTAATTAAAAAATACCAAATTTTTTTATGCTAATAAAATATTTAGTATAATTATTTTTATGCTAATAGAATATCGTGTTGGGTATTGCAGAATTCAGTAGAAATTCGAACTAAAATATGTAATTAACAATCGCGTATAAAATTATACGATACGAAACTTTATATAACAATTGGAATTGTTGAACAGATATCGTGTAAGTAAAGTAGATATTGTACCTGCGGTGAACAATTGGAAGAATTTTTTATTCCCGACAGAACCATCGCTACCTTTAGGATCATACCTTCAAGGTAGATACGATGCTCTTGTAAAATACGAAACAAAATAGATAGTACTTCTTCGTGAACTTCTAACGCTCTATTTATTCCATGGGTACAGTTTAATATTTCGGGTTCTATTATAGGTACCATTCGTGCACTCTGACATATACTGGCATATCTGCGAAAAATGAATTGTCTAGTTATATTATATGAATATATATTTGAAGTACATAGGAGTTTTGTCAGTAAAATCTATTGATATACAAACAAATTTATTTACAATTTATTGATATATTTCAAACAAAAGTTAATCTGTTTTGAATCTGATTCTTTATAGAAATAAGCGATTTTAAAGCATTGGAATTTGTAGCTGATTCAAAACAGATTAACTTTTGTTTGAAATACTTTTGTTATTAGTTACATTGTTATGGTATTATTATTTATAAAATATTATTTTGTTAAAAGTCACTTTGACTTTTTTAAATGACGTGATGTATGTTTGATTTCATGACATTGAAGCTGATGCCAAGACAAGTTTGACGACCTATAATAGAATGATCTTCAGACGACCTTGAGTTCAGAAATCTTGAATTTACTAATTCATGGGAATCGATCAGACGTTTGCAATAATGTTTGTGTTATCAATAAATTGCAAAAAATTACCAAAGTACTTTTCATTCAACAGAGGATAAATGTTATTTTAACTTTTCTATCCGTATATTTGTGCTTATAATAAATGTTCAAATTGTATGCTACTTTCCGCGATATAAGGTTTCACTCTTTTCAGTAAATTTTAAATAAATTAATCAAAACGGATTAACTTTTGTTTGAAATAAAAAATCCTGCACACCATTTTACTGAATACCCTGTAGATTCGAATGTAATAGTGTAGAAAATAATTTACACAATTAACAATAAAGTTAATTTATTTGCAGAAGAAACAAAAAATGTATTCAGTTAAGATACCGATAATGTATGTACGTATGTCACGATTGATCATGTCGACATTTAAAAATTTGTAATTATAACGTTAGAGTGATGATGTGACGCAAATAAGTATATACTTTCTTTCTTAATGCAACTGTCTATCGTAAACATCGAACGGATCAAAGTGCAAGAATGGAGATTCTCCTTCAGCGATTGACTTGTTTTGATAGAAATATTAACATCTCTATTTTCAAATTAACAGTTTTCTGAATGCAACTTATGTTGAAACAAACTATTATATTGGATATAGAATGGATATATTGGATATGTTTAAAAAATGCACACATAAAGAAATAACAAAAATCCTACTTAATTTGATTTCTAATATAACTTGTCTCTTCAATTTCAAAAGTGCAATTTGATTAATTTTCTTCGATACAAGAAGGGACGTAGGTATTTAACAATTCGAGTCACTTTCCTTAGGTTTGTTAGGTAAATAAAGAAAGAAAATAGAATTTGCATCTTTGCAGTTAATCGATTCTGTTGCAATTAAAACGTGTGTTTATCAAAATTGAACCTTGCAAGGACGTTCGCATTCGTAACCATGGCCAGTTGACTCGGCGTGGTCTCTGAGATCGTGAATGTGCATCTCCATTTGGTGAAGTGACAGCCATCGCGTTTATATTGAATGCATCTCTCTTGCAAATTGTCCAAGCCTTCCGTAGTATTCTCGTCCTTCGAACTAAATAATGGGACCAGGCCCTTATCGACCTTAATGCCGGGTACGACATCTCTCTGACGTAGCAATTCGATCAATTCGACGTCATCGGATGTTTTTTGATAAACTGTCTCGTGATGCAGAATAACAGCACTTATGTATTTTGAAAATTGAGACTGCGGTAAAAAAACGTAAATACAAGCGAATCAAACTTTCATTGCGACATGATACCGTAAAGTACAAGAATTGAAGGTGATTGAATAGCTATCATATTATATTTCATGATATCCCGTTTATAGGTTAGATAAGCAAGTAAAATGTGCAGATTACAGTATAATGAGTTCACCTTATCTGCGGTGAACAACATTTGCCGATAATCGCGACGATTAATTTCGGTATTTTCCACGCCGATCTCGTCGAATCGTTCTTGAAAAGTTGAAGGAGACTCGTCACAAGCTAGCAATCCTTTTCCTGGTACTACGATCGCGTCTACGATTTTGCGCAACTCTTGGCAAAGAGCTGGTTCTAACTCCGTGTATTTAGTAATGGGCGATGATATCTAATTAATAAATATATAACAATTTTTTACGAAACTTTATGTGACTTTAAAATAAAGTTAAATTAACATTAATATCCTAATTCATTCATATTATAATGTACGGTTGTATCGTAATCGTAAGTAAACGATATTTCTAAAGTGATATTACATTTTTCAGGCAAAATAATTAAAAGAAAAACATGGTGTTTCGAAATTAAATTATGTCCAAGAAGTTAATGGGAATTGATACAATTATCATTTGTTGAGCAAATGATTTCTTAATACGTATATTAGAGAATCGAAAACTATAATCAAAATAATTTTTGTAACACTAGAAGGAAAAGAGTGAAATTTTTCATAACTTCAGGACTATGAACGAAGTTGGGAAGGTCAACAACCGTGTTGGCACTCGGACAAGTTATATTTAATTTCGAGCAACAATCACTGAGTATTCTAATTCTACAATTTCGTAGCGAACGACAGACATTTATTTAGTACGACTCTTACACTTTCTAAGGGTAACAATCATTATCGAACATTGATATAACGGCAACAAAGTCCAATAACGATATAAAATATTATACCGTAATCACAATTACGCTTTTAAACTGTTGATTTCTTTTTAAGTTTAGATAATTTAACATTGGTAAACATTTTTTGAGCGTGTTAGTAATAAATTAATCGTTTTACGTCTACATATTTATTATTTGCACACAGGGGAGTTAATATTTTTTTAAAGAGAAGGTTTCATTATAAAATTGAAATTTTTTTTGTTAATGCTAAATTGTATATCATAAAATAGGTCCAATACGATTTTTATGAAATTTTTATTTTGTATATATCTTTTACTACTGGTAAAATTTGGTAATGATTTAAAAAAGTATTTTCATAGCGAAGAAGATAATAATAATAATAGTAGGTTAATGACTTACTTTGTCTTTACAGTTACATTTATCCCCCAAACGCTTCATTATTTCAAGTACGTAAATAACGCCAAGAATTTTAGAAAAATAATAAAAATTAGGTGTATTTTTATTTTAATATAGGAACCATATTGATAGAAATTTTAATAAAAATTTGATACTAAAGTGAAAAGAGATAAAACAATTGAAAATTTATTATCTATATAAGAGTAGAATATAGATTTCTTGCAAAAATCAAAATGCGTTAATAAGAAAATCAAGAATCTTTTTCTAAAGAGTTACAGTAATATTTAGTCATGGAAAGCAGTAAATATGTTTAAGAAATAAATTTTAGTAAGAAAAAAGTTACTGTCAATTGTTAAATTAAAGATTAAAATATTTCATTTACGTGATGTTTGTAAACCAAGCGCCTAATTATAGGAATTAATGAACCATTGCCAATGGATGGAAATGTAGTGACAAAAAACCCTAAATATCTTACGTCACTATATCATGAAAAATTGCCTTAAGTTTTGACAAATTTTTGAAATGGAAATCGATGAAGGAGACTTTTGTAATTTGTTAGATCGAGGTTAGTTACGTGCTAGCGGGATGTACTAGAATATTGATAGTGCATATGCATTTAAAAACTATTTTATGGTATTTTGTTGTTAACGTATCCCCTTATATGTGGTTCTTATATATTATTTCGTATGAGAACACTTCGTAGTAAAAAACCCTCGATTATAATGTAGGAGGTTAATTGTAGATGGAATTAAACGGTAAATAAATGTTAAAAGACATAATATCTAAGTTTAATACGAATTTAATTGATTTAGAGAATAAATAATACGTTACGATGAGTAATAGAGAAAAAGGTGATTTACGATCAGAACAATGTATAAAATCGAAAGACGAAAGAGAGAGGAAACAATCAATGTCTTCACAGAGTGATGATTCTGATTCTAAGAAAAAAAGACGTAACACGTGCAGTAAGGACAAAAGGAAAAAGTCAAAGCATAGGAGTAGTTCTAGCAGCTCCAGTTCATCTAGTGTTTCCAGTCACGAGGTTAAGCACCAAAATGATAGGGAAAAGAGAAGCGACAAGTGGGATAAAAGATATGAAAATGGTGTTAGACCATATCGACAGAATCCAAGGGAAGGCAGAGGATATTATAAAGGACGGAGTGGATATTTGGATAATCGTAAACGTACTTTTGGATATCGACCTTATAAACATTCTGGATTTTATGATAGAAATAGACACAATAATTCGCAATATAATAGGTATAATAATGAAAGGAGAGGTAATAGATTCTTAAATCATAACAGTCGAAGACCACCTTATGATAGGTCTAGAAGTAGAAGCACTATGGATCATGATCATCAAAGAAACATAAAGGAGTCTAGTGAACAATCTAGGGAGAGTGAATCGAAGGAAAGATATGTAAAACAAACTAGTGCTGAAAAAGCAGAGTCAAAAAGGAAAGATACAGATGAGACTCATATAAAGGGAAAAGAAAAGAAAAGAGATGAAGACATACAAGATAAAGCTGACCATATTCGCAAGAAATCAAAGAGGAAAAGATCTTTGTCATCCTCAAGTTCCTCAAGCATTAGTAGTAGTACTGACAGTACTAGCAGCAGTTCTAGTAGTAACAGTAGCAGCAGTAGTTGTAGTAGTAGCAGTACAGATACTTCTGAGGATGAGAAAAAACGCAAAAAAGCAAGAAGAAAAGCTAAAAAACTAAAGAAGGCTATGAAAAAGCGTAGGAAGAAGAAAAGGATGAAGAAAAAATTGAAGAAGAAATTGAAAAAATCTAAGAAAAAAACACGAAATGCTGACAAACCCAAAGAAGGTGTTTCTAAAGATAATTCACAAGAAGTATCTGAAAAGTCAAAAGCAATGGCACCAATGACAAAAGAGGAATGGGAAAAAAAGCAGAGTGTAATACGTAGAGTTTATGATGAAGAAACTGGAAGATACAGGTATTTTTAATAAAAAATACATATATATTAACAGTATGTAAATAAAAAATATATATTTATATGTAAATTAATGCTTTCACAGGTTAATTAAAGGTGATGGAGAAGTCTTAGAAGAACTAGTAAGTAGGGAGCGTCATAAAGAGATAAATAAGCAAGCAACTAAAGGCGATGGAGAGTACTTCCAAGCACGCTTGAAAGCCAGTGTTTTATGAACTATTTTTCTATGTATGCTAAAAAAATATCCTTATATAATAATTACTTTATTGTCAGTGTTAAAGTCCTGATGACAATATGTTTTGTAATGTCTCAGAGGAAATACTTATATGTTGTACATCAATGAAACCTGTTTCGAGTGTGATTTTAATTATATTACATGCACACAACGTTTTATCTAGAACGTTAACGACCAAATGCTAAAATATAATCAGCAACGAATATAATTTAGATTCTAAGCCAGTTTTATATAGTTATATTTTTTTCACACTATGACAATTTGTGTTCATTATCATGTATGAAATAAAAAAAATCACACCTTTGAATACGTTATAAAGACACTAAACATAATGTAATAATATGTATGAAGAAAATTTGTAATTATTCATTATTTCGATGAACCACTTACATTATTTTCATAAATAAATAATTAATAATTGGTAAATCACTTTCAAGATATAAATTTTATTTTCTTATATGAATAATTTTCTTGTTTCGTATATACAAGTTATATTATACATCTGTTAAATTTATATAACCTTCCGATAATTTTTTTTTAATTATCGAAATATAAAGATTACTTTTTTTCTATGGTTATCAGGATAACTGATAAGTGATTAATGTAAAGATAACATTATTATAAAGCATTTAAAAAAGTTTCGTTTTATATATATTAAATGCTTAATACAAATTCTTATTGAGTACAATTAGTAGTGAAAAAATACAATTTCATATACTATATATGAAAGTCAATACAGTTGAACAAGAAGGCTTGTATGACCATCTCGATACAAAAGATCATCTGCGATTATTGCTCGACATAATGGGCACGAATATTCTTGATTCAACCAAGTTAAAACACATGTTTCACAAAAAATATGCTTACATTGCAATCTCACGGGCATTGAATATTGATCGTGACAAATTGCACAAATTCCACCGGATGCTATTAATTGCTCTTTCGATGGCGATACTCCTAAATTCTGTAATTCAGTTAATTGTTAATTTTGTTTTATAAATTTATATTCTTTTATTTACTAGAAAGTATAAAACATACCACATTTTGAAATAGCTTCCAAATAGCAGTTTGAAATAATTTTATACACGAAAATAAATCAGTTCCTTTGCTTACTATATACAATAAAGAAAGTAATACTCCAAAGATCTTTTCTGAACCTTGATAACTTTCAAAAAAATAATATAACCATGGTTGAATAGGTGCAACACATCGGGAAAGTTGAGATGATGCCTCCACCATAACAAAATATTTTCCCTAAAATAACATTGTCATTTGATTTCCTAATTAACTAATAATATTTAATAACCATAGTAGAACTTACCCTTTTTCGAAGAGCCAAAAGTTTTGAAGGCAAACATGTTAAAAAAACTTTAAAAATAATAGTAATCAATTTCAAAACAAGATCTTTTATTAAAACTGACCACAGTAATTCCCAAATGCTAAGAGATTGTGTATATGAAGAAAATAGATATGTATCATATTCAAAATGAATAAAAACTATACATCCAATAATATAACACGTAATAACTAAGAGTGATAGCCAACTTTTATTGTTTTGTTTTGCAATTTCACGTTTTACAACGTTATTAGTATAATTAAATACAACAACTAATACTATAAAGTTTAATATATTGGCTCTGTGATCATACAGGCCTTTGGCAAAAAGAATAAGAACAAAAGGAATATATCTTTTGAGTCCTTTAAAGAATGCACGTGTTCGTGGACTAATTCGTACTGCCTCTGCTGTAGCGTCTTCTATATCATTGTTATTATTATTGTTATTATGATTAATAACATTATTACTATTATTATTTTGGCTTTCACCCACAACTTCATTAGCAGCCTCACGGATATTATTTAAAAAATTGTCTGTTGCAGTTGTTTGATGATGATGATGATTATCATGAACTGAAACGTCATTCATTGATTGATCTTCAACATCAATGATATAATTATCAGATGTAAGAGGTACAGGCTCTGTAGGAGTTTGAACTCTTTGAATGTTCAATAATGTGCTTAATGAAATGCCTGGTTGCTGCAAGTATAAATAATTAAATTAATATTATGTTTGTATAAAAATTTGTAAGATACATATTAAAAATATATTTGTAATACATTTTCTATAAGGGGCCTAATTTCATCTATAGTAGAAGATATATTATTTGAAAATATTCTAGAATGTTCCATTGTTGTGTTTCTGAAATTTAAATCTTTTATGCAAATAGATGGTATAGATTGACGTAAATACAAAAATTATTATCAACATGTACAGCACGAAAAATATATACATACAGTATAGAACCTTTTCATTACGCTTTCTTTAGGAAGCATCGATTAACGTCAAAATAAATTATCTTAAGTCCTTAGAAATATAATTATATGATTAGTATTAACACATTTGATAAACTGCAGAGTAGAAGAAAAGGCATTTTTGTATACTAAAAATCTAATATTAGGACGTATAACCACAAAAAGGAACCGACATACTAGAAATTTGTATCAAATTCATTTCATAATTGAATATTTAATTTGAAACTCATTACAAAACATTAACTTTTATACTTTTTATTACTGTACTTTCATAGATAATTTTAAAAGTTTGATTCATAATTTTTGACGTAGGAAGATATCGAATTGCGCCATTTTCTTTAAGATTATTCTTAACCGATACGTATGTACCATCAGAGCTATGAATATACACACGTATAAGCGCTAAGTTTAAAATTATAACTTGTTAATTAATTCGTTCAATAAGTACTTCATGCATAAGTATAAAATATATGTGGGTAACTTTGTTAAGTTTCATATTATCTGCTTTCCATCATTTACTATAAATTAAAGTAAATTTCAGGTTTGTGGGGGTTCAATGATTAAACAAAAATTTCTGTAGATTTGAAATATTTTAAATAATTAATAATAGGATATACTATATTAAAGTTTGATAAAAATTCACATAATTTATGTATAATATAATAATTTACACACACATACATTATGTTTAATACTGTATATGAGAAATATTGTTGGTTTAATATTGTTGGCAAAAATTTAAGAAACTTTATTTTCGAATATTTTTTGTATGCTTCCCTCGTTTACGTTTTCCTCTTGCCCCTTGGATGGAATTTAAATAAGAATAAGTGCATTTGGATGTTGGTTGTTCAACCGAAGCATTAACAGCTCTTGTCCAAATGATCGATGCAACTGCACCCAAAGCTCGCGACATGCACAGTAATATTTGATTGAATTCCATGTCTTTCAGCCCATAGAACTTACACAATAAATGTAGAATAAATTACAATTATAGTATAAATAGGTGAAAATTAAAATAAAATTATTATTATACTTGAAAAATAGGTGCAGCAATTGCATTTTGTTCGGGATAAATATTTTTTCCTTTTGCAGATTTCATCATTGTAGAAAGAATTTTAGTGATGGTTTGTGACAACTGGAGATAAGAATACAACTATCAAATTTTTGCTTAATAAATCGGAGAGGTAAAAGAAGTTAAATTAAAAAATACAAGTTTGAGTAAGGAGTTCATAGACTTAAATCCTACGTATTCGAGGAGAACTATGAATAAAACTAAAGATACTCAATACGTATACATTACACATGTATACCTTTATACCAGAATCATTTGGTAAATGTTCTCTTGCATAATTTTCCAATACGGTGTATTTCGGATCGCAAATCTCTGCTTCTTTGTAACCAGTTAATTTATCCCTTTGAATTACACTGGTTATATAGTTCCTTAACTTTTCTTCCTTCGATTCTTGGCCAAGAAGGCGCTGTATTTTTGTTTGGAATTCCATATACTAGTTCATTAAGGTGATAATTATTCACGAGTAGTTATATGTTTTATATCGATAATAATTCTTATAATTATTGTAGAAATTATTCAATCAATCGAAATCGAAAATGTCATTACTTCTGAAATTGTGCCGCTTTTAGGTTCCTCGGTATATGCTAAGGCTCCTGCTGCAAGAGCCTGGTTGACGTATGATTGAGAAGCACCGAGTATTTCTGTAACATGAACGCCAGGTATTCCGCCATTTTCATCTCTATAAAAGTATTTTGTGATATAAATTCTATAAATGAAAGGGTGTATATAGCGATAAAAAGAAATTTTTTAAATTCTAGTTTAAGTAGTTTATGAAACATTTCTGTAATACGAACGCCAACATTTCTGTCATTTTCATTCTATAAAAGTACCTTGTAATATAGATTTTATAAATCAACAATCGCATTTTTTAAAATGCGCGCAATCGTATTTCTAGAGAATCGCGAGGAAAGAAGCTTATAAAATCTTGATTTGTAACATTTTTTAAAATTATTTCTTGTATATAAGGATATGTAATTTACTTACGCGTTCAGAACAATGTATAATCGAAGGAAGTCCATCAACGATTTCTTATGGTTTTTCGAAATGTCAAATGCGTTACATAAACATTCTGATAAAAATTGTATCCAATCGCCGTTCTCTTCTTCCAAGTTCTTCAATTCGCCTTTAGCGATTAGACCGACTATTGCCGGTAGCGTTGCTAGTAACTCCATACTATCTTCATACATGTACTTGAAGCATAAATAATAAACCTCATAATGGAAATTTCAACTTTCAACAAATTCAATCAAATATTTTAATCCGACTTCGTTACTCAAATTATACTTTTATACTTTGTCGTTTCCTAGCTTTAAAGCATATCCCATTTAATTCTTTCCTTAACTCGTTACATAGGAAGGAAGGTAATGCAAGGACAATTAGTTGTTAATTCTAATTACAAAAGCGTAATTATATAATATTCATAGTATCTGATGTACACTAAAGGGCCCGTCTTTAAATTTAAGTCTACTATAAAAACATTATCAGTCAGATATTAAAACTCACTTCCCAATGAGTATAACTCAAGGCGCCATTTTTTAAAGCTTCATTCATGTGATTGCGAGAATCAAAAACGGTAAGAGCCACTGACAGCTTTCCAAGAGGAGACGTTGTTTTTGGTAACGTTTGAAGAACGGAACCAACGATTCCACCACCTGGTCCTGACCACCAATCTTTCTTCTTTTGACGTCGTGCAGACCAATCAGCGATTAGCGATGCTGTTTGTTCTTGCGTTGGAACATCCCCGGTTAAAAGCAACCAAAATACAGATTCCGCACTTGGTGACTTTCCTTCTCGAGGTAACAGTGTAACAACTTCCGGTATCGTTAGTCCCCTATATTTAATCTGCACAAAATGAAATTTTGCACTTTTAATTCTGTATTAAAAGTTATTAATTTCGTTTAGAAAGAAATGTGTTATAGTATAAAAACGTCACCCCATATTTTGGATCAATCTCAGAAGTTTCTCTAACCATAGTGTTCACTCCGTTTAATCCTTGATAAATATTTTCCACGGTGATCTGACTGATCACCGACGATCCATGTTCTTGTCGGATATTTCTCAATATATCATAGTGTATGGGAATCTTTTCGCACAAAGCCTCCTTCAAGTTTACGCTTGTGCTAGGAACACCTCTCGTTGTACTCACCTTAACATTTAATTCATTTTTTTCATATCCTTGCAAAAGTATAATATGTTCTTGTAATAGTGGTAAAAAATATATAATTGTTTTTCCTTTCTGTTCTTTTAGAATAACGGTTAACAAATTTATTTGTCAAGTGGCATAAAACAAATCAAACAAAGACAAATCTTTCTCTATGCGTAGAAGGAACTTTAAGATAATTTATTACCAGTAAAGAGATATTTTTATATAATCGAAAGCATAAATGATATCATATTTGCTTTCTATTTATAGATTTTCAAGTTATCAATATTGCGGATAGCGATAAAAATTTTGAAAAGCAAATTGGCTGCGAGTAACCTCGTACATCGGTAAATCAATTCCAACCGTCAATACGTGTCGTTGTCCGTGGAAATTAATGTCGCTGTAATTCTTCATATTTTTTAGAATCACCGTTCGCATGAGGAATCGGAGTCCTCTCCAAAGCTGAAGCATCTTTCCCAAATTCGTCTTCTAAGATTCTCAAACGTAAATATTCATCATTTTTATAATGAAAGATTATTAGAACGTTAAGAGGAGACTGATCAACCACATTATATGTTTACTGTTTTTTAGTCTTAGCCTTACGTAAATTTATTTCTGCAAAATATAGTGTGAAATTTAGTCATTGCTTCGTTCCAAATTAAAAAACAGAGGTCGAACTACAATGGTATTTTTTGTTGCAATATTTAGGCGGTGATGCTCTTTTGTTTACTTCTTGTTTCCTGCGCCTTTGCTATCATGAAGTTTTATGTCCATATGTAGATATTATTCTGCCTTTGAAAACGCAAAACGTTGAACATTAATCATTGATACCTATTGTTGGTAACAGCTTTTAATGATACTTAGAGGAGTACTTTTAATTATCAGTATTTCCATTTCTTTTTTTCGATATTAAAGTAATATATTTGCAGTGTAATTTTCTAGAATTTAACAAAACGCAAATCAGAAGATGAATGAAAAGATCAAAACGTGTTTTATTTTTGTTTTAGTTTCTTTTTTTATTGCATTACTCCTGCATACAAAATAACGCGTGATATTTTGTATGTAAAACAACGCTTATTCGACACACTCTCGATGACTGTACAAATTCGCGTCGAAATTTCTGTACCTTGTTTAGAATCACTATTTCGATACAAAGATTTTTTTTTTACCAACGAACACATGTTTGTATGTTATGTAATGCACGGTTTGTATGTCGCTCTATTCGATATATTCAACATTTACGTATATTCATTCTGCGTGGCCTACGCGTATACTGGACAACAAATTGATCGTGGAAATTAAATAACAATCGATTGTTCGTGTATCGTTTCCGATTTTGGCAATTATCATAAAATATTCATAAACGATCGTACAACGAGCGTGGAACTCTGTTAAACGGGAGAATCGGTTTCCTTATCAATCGCTTAATTGTTGAGCCAATAATATTATGTTCTTACGTTAAAATACGTACAAACGACAACAACAGATAACACGTACTTTTCAGAGATCTGCATACGTATAGATGTACGGTATTTCACAATATGAATAGCTACGCTTACGGCTAGTGATTAATTCCTTAACAGTATAGTAAAATATATGTATATTGTATACACTATTGCTTGATTTGAGGTAACTCTCAATAACACGCTATTATTACATTTATTTCTTCGCTATTATCATCATTTTTATTATTAATATTAATATTATTATTATTACTATTATTGTTATTATTATTATTATTATTATTATTATTATTACTATTATTATTATTAGGCCGAATGCATTATTGGAAAGTGAACTAAAAATATTAATTTCGTATACTCGAGGTTCAATATAATAATAGAGCAACGAACTATACAATAAAACATATCACAGAAAAATAGAGCGAACTTTATTGCGTTTGCAATTACAATAGATCTCTTAATTTTTCATCAAAATATGGGTTTTAGAGGTGTATATAGAATAACCAATTCTAATCTATAAATAAATTTATCTCTGGTACATATATTCTTAATGAAGAATTTCTAAAAATGAAAGTAGTATTTCAATTTTATATAATTACGCATGTTAAACTATTTGAAATCTTATGTAGGAATTTGAAAAAGTGAGATAAATTCATTTATAAACTTTGTTTGTACAGAATAGAAGAAATTCATGATATATTTACAGAGCGAATTATAAAGTAAATCGTAGAAATGAAATTGTACATAGAGGGATTCGGCAGTCGGTTACGTACATACATACGTATTTGCAATCTTTCCGTCGATCTCGACGCGAAAGTGCAGTTGTACAACATGATTGCATTATTTTTCAGTGTTAAAGTTACACGATGAGCAGTTTCGGTGGGAATATTCACAGACAAGATATTAAGGTTCTTCGATTCGTAAAGTATATTCGGTATTTCCTTCGTTACTAACTTCATACTCTCGTAATACTGATAATTCATGAGCTTTGAGAGATCTTTCACGAAAAGCGATCGAACGATCATTACAACTTTAAAATTGTTAAAAAAATAACAGTGAAATTATTCCTTACTCGCTTCAGTTTGTACTTACAGCATTAAATTTACGAAAGACACAAGAAAACTGTACTAAATTTAGAATATTTGTCATTTATGCGCAAAAGGTGGCTATGCTTTCCATGAAAAATCTCGATGTCTCCAACAATCACAATACTGCATTCTGCATTGTCGATTAATGAACCACAAAAGGCTCCTGAGTGGATTCCTGTTTCGGATTACAACTCGACTAGAGGGATATTGAGAATAATTTGGGATTCTTCGTGCAATTGAGCTTTTGCATGGAGGATCTTTTCACAACGTTTGTTTTTCGTATCCGCTTCGAGTTAACTACGACCCTGTGTCATGGTATAGATAGAAGCAACTTCTTTTGATGATGTGGTCGCAGAAATCGAGCACGTTGATTTTCTGGCTTCAATGTCAGAGAAGAATACATTTTTCGCTGGTGTCGTGCGAGTGAGATCGTAGAGGTTGCGAGGGTGCTGGCGTGGGAGAAGGTGGTCTACCTTCCACGGCTTGAATACTCTTCATCAGTTCACGGAATACCTGTTAGACGCAAAAAATCTACTTTAGTTCATGAAAATAATTTTTCTATGTTATTCTTAAAATATAACAATACAAATTTTCTCATGACGGAAATTTATAAAATTATATTAAAAAATTGCATTATTAATATTTTTTACTCAGATAAACAAAGTTTAAGGTTAAAATACTTTAGTAAATTCATATACAATTGGAACTGTTAATGGTTAAATATTAAAGTAGTTCAATTTTGATCAATGCTTTATTTATTGCATTAGCAGACAAAAGAAGTTTGCAAATTAACATAAACAAGTTATGAATGTATTTTCAATTATAAAAGATTTTAATGAGCAGTTTCATTTTGGCATTATAGGGGGCGAAAATTTCTCGAAGTAGCGGTTTTATCAGGTTATGGTAGGTTGTTTACATCGCATATGCGTAATTTGAAACGCGAGATGAGGTATCAAAACTCTATGTAATTCTCTTATCGTTTCGAATAATTAAGTAATGTATGTATGTATGTAAATCTATTATTATATCTTCTATTCCCAGGTAAATGTTCTTAAATTGTAATCAATAAGTAATTTCAAAGTATGATATATTCATATGTTTCGTCAATGTACAATGTATATTTGTAGTTCTTTTATACAATATGATGGTTTATATTTGTAGCGATAAAAGAATAATTTTGGCAAGTAATTATGGTCGTTAACGCTAAAATATGGTAATGATAATAAAAGTACAATTTCTATGATTGGATAAAAGTTGCCTAATTATAAATATTTAAATAGGTTAATTATACAGATAAGATTTCAATGATTTTCAAATATGTTATCAAGTTTAAAATTATCAATATTTATATGTATTCTGAGATGAAATGCTGCTGAGAGACAGGAGCGTTATTAATAAAATATATTGATTAATGAAATATGTATCGCAAAGATAAAAAACATGGATGCGTTTTGTTTTAGGAAAAGAAATTTTGTAAACAAAATTACTTCATTGACAGAGAAACTTAGTGATGAGACAGTTTTTAATGGGTTAATACATAATAAATATTCATGTAATACAACAAAAAATTTTGATACAATGAATGATATATATACTTTCGTGGGAAAAAATTCAAATAATAATGTACATTATAAGATGCAAAAACATGACATTAGAAGACACATAGGCACATTTGAAAAAGATAGTAAGGATAAAGGAAGGAGAGTTGATAATCAAAAAGGTGATATAAATATGATTGATAGCAGTAGCATAAGGAATAAACTAAAACAAGTTCAAGATAATATGAGAAAATGCAAAAAAAGTGAAAAAGTAAGACTTAATAAAAAAGAACATAAGTATAGTAAAATAAAATATTATTCTCGTGATTTAAATTCATTCATACCCATTGCTTTGCAGCGAAGTAAACAGGAAAATAAAAAGACGCAGAAGACTGTTCAAAATTTTAAGCCTTATATTATAGGAAAAGTAGGAGAGCTAAAAGATAAACTTTTAGAATATCAGTTCCACATAATTAAGATACAATCAAACTATACTACAGAAGATATAGTAACATTGGAGGATGCTAATCATACAGTATTCATTTTCAATAGTATTATGAGCAAATTAAAAGAGGAACTATCTCAACTACAAGAAGAATTAAAAGATTCTTATATTGAGTGGATTAGAATCATTAATAGTTGTAATCGTATTGTTTCAAATGAACAGGATAAATGGGCTATTAATAGTAATGATGTGGAAATAGTAGGAAGTGAAACAACTTCACAAAGTAGCAGTTGCAATGAAATATTTTCAACAAATGCTTATAAAAAACAATCATCAAACATAAATAAAAGAGCAGAGAAGAACATTTGGGAGAGAAATAATAATACTATACTTCAGCAGAATATTAGACAAGATAAGAATAATGAAATATCATCAAACACAATGGATACTAACATCATAAATACAAAGCAGACCTCAAATCAAACTGGTAACAACAATGATATTTTACAAAGTGGACAAAATCCATCATCCATGTTCGATAAATTAAAAAATACTAACACAACTGTAACATATTCTACAGTGGGAAAGAAAAGTACAAATTACACACTAAATAAAAATTTATCATGTCAAAATATCACAGATACATTGAAGCAGTTAGGTGATCATGAACGAGTTTCAGTTCAAAATGGGCCAATAACAAGGAAAAGACGGTTAATAGATTATGACAGTGATATAAGTAATAAGCATGGCATAGTGTCTTTGTATAGTTCAAGAAACATGTGTACACAAGACATTAAACAGGTAGATGTAAATGAAGACATATATTCTGAAGACTCTGAAAGTTTAATTTTTGAACCTATTCCATTCAATTATTCAGAAGTTCTAACACCAAGACCTGATTTTAATATACATTTAAAAGCTAAAAGTAACCATGATTCTCAAATTGTATTGAAAAAACCTGTTGCTCTTTCAAACACAAACAATTCAAATGGAAAGTATTGGATAAAATCCACTCAACATAAAATCTTTAATTCAAACGGAAGTTCAGTAAATCAGATTGAATCTAATATGGATAAAAAGTTACAAATGATATGCCAAGTGGTATTACATAAATACATACAGTAATTAAGTTAATATTGATAATTGCGATTTTTTGATATTGATAATTACGATTTACGTGTCTCTTAACTCCTCAAGTGGAGAAAAAATTCTTGTAAGTCATTCGTACAGTAAAAGTATAAAATGTTCTTACTGTTTACTGGCGGATATATAGGTTGGGCCCAATGAACAATTAACCAAAGCCGATCTCCGTTTTACCCGTTTAGGGGATCAATTAGTACTGTTGAAGCATAGCTGCTATGATAATTTGTGTTAAGAAATTATCCATATTTACCTTTGGTTTTTTATTTTGTAATTTATATAAAGCTCACATAAAAATGAATATTATATATTATTATTATATAAGTTTATGAATATTATATAAGTAGAAGTTTATTTTATATATTAATGAACAAATATTTTTTTATATGGCTTATTTTGTGTAATTTGATTTACGTAATAAATTTATGTTACTATACAAATGTATTATTTATGAAGAACCTAATACTTTAATTTTATCTTCGTGAGTAGTTCAAGATCATTGTTTAGGATCTGTCAATCTAAATCTGTAAGATCATCAGATTTCGAAATTTTCGAATTCCAAAGTTTTCACACATACATACATTATTCTGTTTTTATTATATTTTCTTTCGAGCAATTATTCTGAAATTTTGTACATATCATTCTCTTCCCAAGTGTCACAATATAGGCAAGTAAGACTAACAAAAATATCGTAGGTAAAAAAGTAAAGACCACCCTACTGATCGCCATAACAGTCAACGTATTAATAATATACATTTATATCATACGTACCTGTACAACACGACAGTTAAATCTGGCGCTACATTCGACGTAGCCGCATCGCCAGTGCTTCCGAACGAGATTAACGATGTCCCTGTAGCGAGTTCCGGAAGCAGCCGCAGGCGACAATTCGTCTTGCTTGTTCCCGACTACCAATAACGGTATGCCCCTCATATCCCGTGCTTCGTAGATTTGTTCTCGTAACGTCCTAATATACTGTCATGTCATAAATGAAAGTGTTTTAATATAGATATATAAGTAATATCTATCATATTTTATAGTATCGCATACATATTATTAGGCTTTGAGTTTTTATACATTTATGGGAAATGTAAAATTGCAAAGACGCATAAAATGCACGTAACACGTAAAAATATGTAAAATATGTACAGTACAATACTAGTTAAGATATTTAATAATTGAAACAAACCTCTGTCTAAATTTTATCTTTCTACTTGCGTTTATAAAAATATAAATTTGCATAAATATCCGCAGTCTATATATCGATACAATTTGGTAACGTTACAGTAGTCATAAAAGTATCGTAATATACAGCGTGTTAATAAATATCCGAGATACCTGAAATGTCTGAGATCTTTTATAGATTCAGTACTAGACGTTGAAACAAACGCGAAACTTGTTATGCAAAAATATGATTCCGAGTTACAGACAACTTAATTGTGGACGAAATATCCCTGTACATAGGTTAGGAGGGCTCTGATGCATAATAATTTACTAATAATAGTAATGATTTAACCACCACGTAGTCTAATTATTGAGTTTTAAAAACGAAAGAATCGAACTTTTTTGCATAATTTTCGCGGAAATCAAGCAAATCAATCGAAACTAGACGATGTTTTGCATTTAGAGCGTACATGAAAAATATAATTTAAAACACCAGGTGCAGAAGATTCAAGCATTATTATACGTAAATCTTGATTTGTGTATTCAACTGGACAACCCTACTCAGAATATCGCGAAATTTCATTCGAAAAACTGATAAAACTCTATTTCTCGTACTATCGATATTCGTAACCATATAAAGTCGATTTAGATCTGTTCAGTAACATTTCTTCCATTTCTTTCTGTTTCTAGTCATTTTCAACCTGGTAATGTTCCTTAACTGATAACAAATTCCCTAAGTCAAGCTTTTTGACTCGGTAAATTCATTAAAATGCTAACCGCAATAATAAATTAAAAGAATATCGTAACGAGAAACTTCGATAGTTCTTTTTTTTCAAGTTTTTGCATATTTTTCATCTCGCTGTAGAGAGAGTATAAAGAAGAACGATAATCGCAACAAAGATCGAATAAGGAAAGTTTCCACCCCTCTGTTAAGCATAAAGAAAGGTCTCTAATGAAATGGGGGTGTCTGGAGGCAATTGGGGTGAAAAAAATGTTTTTAAAAACATTCTCAGGGATAAACACGTTTATTCGAAGCTTTTACGAAGTAGCTTTGTACTAAATGTAATAAATCGTTGATAATATATTGATATAAAAAGAACGACTTTATCCTTTATTAGAGCTACCGTAGAATATTACGACACGATAAAATTTATTTTTGGAAGTTAATATAATAAAGAGGATATCTTAGGATTTATAAGTGTCGAGCAGTCGCACTATGGAACAACTTTTATTTAATAAGTTTATACGTACACAGCTTGTCTGTTTATCAAGCTATAGATAGCATAGAAAAGAATTTTCCGTATTGATTGACAGACTATAGCAATTACTTCCAATAATAATATTTCGATTAATAATAACGAGAAGATACTGTTTATAAATATTGCTTTTGATCATTAGTCAACCATTAATTCATATATTTTTAGTAATAATCAGGTCTTGTTGATAAAAATCTACCAGAATGTCCACGGTAATTGCTACTTGACTTTGTTTCCAAAATATTTATAAAAATATTTTTGCTACTTTTTATCTTAGTGTGAGTTAGTTTTGGCTTAGCTTTATCTACGGACATGATATTATACGTGTATTCATGGTTCTCGCGTAGCTTAATTAATTGCAAGTCTCTTTCCTTTTGTTTTGTTTCTTATCTTCCTGTGTTTAGAAGTTGAAGCGTGAGGCGTATGAACGAACGAATCGCGGTACGAACACATCTAACGTACGTACTAGAAAAAGCTGTTTACAACGTTAACTTGAACGACGTATTTGAAAATCATAGAAATCGGCAAGGTGTACGGAAGTCATCTTATAAATGCAGGCTTAGTAGTGGCCCAATGGCTCGCTTTTTATAATCATTACAATATATGTATTTGCGTATTTATATACGTACCTGAAACGTGTCCTGATTACTGAGATCGAACACGAGAACGTAAGCGTTCGCACTTCGTAGTCCGTAATAACGGAAGTCCGTCCATTCGAGGTGCGAGCTGACCGGAAAATACGGGATCATCGGTAGATCTGTGATTTTTAGTTCGTACAATCGATCGGCGAGTACCACGCTCGGATAGAAAGTCTCTCTGCGCTCGGTCGGTTTGTATTCCTCGCAGAATTCGCTCCACACGAATTGCTGCAACCATAAACGAGTACTAACACTGGTGTCGGTTTACGATTTAGATCGTCGTTCTCGTTAACGGGAATAAATGGTGAGAACCCTGGAACTTCATGGGGAACTCGAAAGCTATCAACTGGTTTGAAGTGCTGTACGCAATCGACGATTCGTTCGACTTATCAAAGAGTAGATTTAGATTTGCCCCGAGTGAGAGAGAGAGAGAGAGATGGTATTTTATATGGGTTTAAATTAATTTCGTTATTGACTGTAACAGTAGCTATGTTGATTTTTAAATATCTAGAGATTAACTAATTCTAGAAATTTATAAATAAATATTGAAGAGATTTAAAAAGTTAATAATGATATTATACTTAAATATTCTTAGTGATTTCATGCGATTTAAACGATGTCTTAATTGAGGTAATTTTTTAAAAATAATTTCCATTTACATTTTTCATCTGTTGGAATGCGATGATGAGGTAAAGTACCCACGATCTACTGCTGTATAAATTATAATTAAAATAAAATACAGTGACTAATGTACAGTGACTCACACTGAAAGTATCATATTTGGACATTTACTACAACAAATTTTTATTACTATGGGTATATTATCTACGTTATACAAAAGTTTTCGAACTTTATTAGAACTATAATGAAGAATATAGCTAAAAATCACACTAATATAGCGCTATTCTGCTAGTTTAAATTAAGCTTTTGCATTGATACAAGAAGGGCAATATCACTAAAAATTTATCTCGACTATTTTTATATATTCATTCATTTTTGTAAGAATTTTTACAATGTAATCTATAAATACATGTAGAATATACAGTAAACTAGATGATTTTTGCACCTGTATTTTAAAGGGAGAAGAAATATATAGAATTACAAGTAATTTCATTGCAAGAAGATGAAAATTTATGGGAAGATACGTATTGTAAGGTAATCGCTCGGAATGATAGGCGGCTATAAAATTAAATGAACAATTTAAGATAAAGGAAGCAAATAAAATTTACTGCTACCTGGATGAGAACCTCTGATTTAAGGGAGTATTGCTTCATGGAAATTGCAAAACGATTTATCGAATGGACTATGCTATTGTGTTGGGTTATATTGGATAGTAGAAAAATGTATAAGGTAAAGTATGAAATCTATGGGAGTCCGATAGGATAAAGTGTCCAAGGCTTGGAATTTCTATATGTACTTTCGAAATACAATATTGTCGCGTGTGTGTAGTGTGTAGTGTATATGCCTTGTTATATAGTATAGCTTGCCTGTTGCATCGCTATACTTGTCGATATATCACGAGAATGGTACATGAAGAAGGATTCTATATATTTACACATACCACTTGTCAACTTATCTCACTTGTTGAATTTTTAATAACGTCATGCTAGTATCGATAAATTTTTCAAATGCAAATACAATTATCTAAAATAATCATAGAATCAAATATATGATATTTTGTAGCATAGTATACGATATTTTTTGAATAGCGAATATATTATAAAATAAATTAGAAAACGTATTAAGCATTTACAGCTTTATTTTGCTTATGCGATTGAATGCATGCAGTTAAAAAGTATAGTTAAAAAGATATTCATTCGTTTATAATTAAAGATGATAAAGAAAGAAAAAGAGAGATGTTTTTATTATCTATGAAGTTTTAACAAATTTGCGTCACTCGAACCACACACGAGATTCGAATAGTAATCGCATATTAAAAAAAGAACTATAAAAATTAAGAGAAACAACTTTATCGTATTTTTATTGCTTCTGTATTTAAATAAATAATATTCTTAAAATCGAGAAACGAAAAGAATCTTATTTAGAGGAGGAAAATTTATATATGGAACTGCAATTTAATAAAAAATCTTGTATTTGACACATTTCCCGATGCTATATTCCGTCTCCCCTTTTCAACGACTTTCAATTTCCTCAAGAGGCGACAGGTAACCGGAAAATGGCCTCGGAAATGAGCGGAAGTCATTCGCATCTTGTAAAGCGATGTTCGTCACAGTTGAATCGAAAAGCTGAACCTCTTGCTAGCTTTATCGACTGCACAAATGTCGATATTATGCACATGTGGTAAGCTTGTATTTTTCCTTCTCGATTTTTCAATATTCACTGGAAAATATTATAGCTTCTTAGTCGTACTTTTTCAATAACACTCAAATTGCATAAAAATAAATCGATATCAGTTTCTGGAAAAATTAACGATCTATTTATTATTGAGCTCATTTATCTAATTCCAAATTAATTTAAAAAATTAAATATAGATCTCAGAATGAAAATATTATGAATTTTTAGCTAATAATTTAATCGAGTAACTTAATTTATTATTTTTTCATATTCTTTGTAATTAGTGATCCTATCGTGTTTATTTAAATCCTATTATTTCCATACAGATTTCACTACAAAATCAATTTTATTATTTTCTTAAATAAACTCATACATTTTTTATTTTCTCTGTCAATTTTCATGGTATAATTTCTTATGTTACATAAAATTCTATCAACTATTATATTCGTCTGGAGGATTCATAAAAAATGTAGTCACGCGTGACTTCTTTCAGTCCCCAGTGAGCTTTTACGAACATCGATCGTGGTCTTTAACAGGTTAAAGCGTTAACAGGTCTCGCTTTTCCACTTTCTTATTTTCACGACCTTCCCTCGAGTAGTATGTGTAAATTTTATTCTTCGCAGTTTCGACACCTTAAATTTCCCTATGTATCCATAAAACGAAAGGAAATATTAAATTTCATCGTAATTCTATCGAAAGATGAATAATAACAGAAATTATACTACTCTGCCTTTTCCTGATATTTTCAATTTATTTAACTTGTTATTATTACTTAATCTGTTTAATAAAAGATTACCAAACAAAAGTTAGAAAATCGCTAGCGAAGTTCTAGATAATAATAATAGTAAATTTTTGGTATTTTTTGTATCAATGGATTTTGGTATTAAATCTTCACACGCTAAAATGTATCTTGACGAAATAATGCTCTCTTGAAAAATAAGGATCTACTGTATAAAACAAATCGAATAATTTCAATGCAAGAAAACACGGAGGGAAAGGAGAAGAAAGAACCGGATAAAATAATGAAAGAAAAGGGTTCGTGCTGCCTTAGTATCGCTCGTTATAACTTTCATTCCAGTCGACGATACTAACGTTTTATTAACGAGCAGGGTGTGTTTGTTAAATCGGGTTGCCATGATAAATATCTCGCGGAAGTGCAACATTCGTCGGCGCAGTTGCGTTTAATTACGCGATAGCCGTGTTACGTGCCCGCGGCATTAATTTACGCTTCGTACTTAGTTCTTCATCACGTTCAAGATCCTTCAATTGTTTCGTACGATACGCGAAATTGCCGGAAGAGACAGAGACTGCGGAAACCAAGGTGCATCACGATAACAAGGTTTATTTTGACAATTTCTTGTTACAACAAGGGAAAGTATAAACGAGCAAATATGTGTCGTGTATTCATAAATTAGTGTCTAATTAGCAAAGGTGCAATTGTTTGGAGACGTGCATAGGATGTATTAAGAAATTATCCCCTTCAACCAGTTGCGATAGAATTTACGACAAAGGTCATGCTGAACATTTCTTTGCTTTCGGTATGTTTACAGATGTGGAAGTTACTTGTTGAAGTTACTTTTCCTTGTCGATAAAAAGCTTTTGCTTGATGGAACAGAATTCTAAAATTTGATGTGCAGAAAATACCGTATTTAAAAATTCATTGATTTTCCATAAGAAATTTTGAATGGGATGTTAAAATATTGTGAATAATAATTTGATACGATTCGAAGTTTGTTTGTAAATGTAATTTTATATTTTAATTGCAGTTATTTAAATTTGACCTGTATCACACTGCTGCTAATCGAGTATTTTTGAGACGAACAGTAAATGCAAACGAAAAACTTGATGTACATATTTTACTATTTTTGTTAAACTGTATCTTTTTTCTTTTTCAAATAATAAAAGTCTTCATCGCATAGCAAAAGCTTTAATCAGGTGAAAGATATAGTCATGTTTGGTCGCGTTATTTTTAGCTAGTTTAGTTCGTGTTTCTAAGATAAATATTAATAACATAGTAGCTTTCATCGTGGAATTAACGTTTTATTGTGTCGAAATCCCAGCATTCTCATCATTACGCTTCATGATATTACAATAAATAAATAACGTATTCAAAAGAATGAAAAGCTGATAGCACTTGCTTCAATAATAGTTAACAATTTCTAGTTTTATTCATATATTTCAAATGTATAGTTCGGACGTCAAGTCAGACATAGTATTAAAATTCGAATATTTTAAGTATTGTGATATTACTTATACTTACTTTAACAAACTAAAATCGCTATTGGATTAAGCAACTTTTATTCGAAAATCAGTGTATCTCTGTCATTATACAGCGCGAAAGATTTCACCTTTGATTACAACAATATCGGAAAATTTGCAAAATTAATATTTAATGTAAAAAATTATCATTGAAAAATTACAAATAATTATTACTAACTATCTCTGAAAGAATCTCTATTAACACGTGTAGTGATGATAGATATCGATTCGATTCAACGAAATCAGTGCTCACCCTAATTATGCTGGACTTTCCCACCCCAGGTGCACCGAGAAACACAACTTTGACACGATCCAGAGTGTCTGCAGGGCTTTCTTCCTCTTTCGATCCACTTTCGGCGTTTTCACAAGTTATTGTATCGCCTCCTCTCCTTTCCAAGTAGTCCAGATCGAGCTCTATGAACCATTTACACAATTTATGTCTTAAACATCTAAGGCACGAAATTTTAGTCATCTATAACAGATATTCTGCAGAGTTAACAATAATAAGTATTAACATTATCATTACTCTTCAATGTCTATCTTCATATCTTCGTTCCGTGTTTATACTTCGACTGAAATACTTTTCGTTCGTTAGGAACATATTCATTCCTCCACGCTTGTTATTTCCTTTCTCGTTATCGCAATAAACGTATTTGTCAAATCCAGGTCTTCCACTTTACAGATCACGGATTTGTAAAGTTGTAAAAACTTTACGACAAAGAGTATGATAATTCGATAAAGGTGAATACAAATGGCCCGATATTTTTTCGCTGATATCGAAGACGCCTCTGGATTATTTTTCAACCACCTTGGAACTTTTTCGAGAATATTTATTATTCATGAACGAGTCGAATATTTTTACGTGTGACGTACTAGGCTTCCCTCGGCCTTTTTGCGTCGTATATGAAGCCACGTTTAATCGGTGATAGGAATATTAGAGTTGTCTGGTGATTTATTTATTACCGACGACTCGAAAAATCAGAAATTTCATTAAATAACGTGGCTTTATATCGACATGTATATGTATGTATATATAATATATATGTCGGAGATGAAAAAACATCGGGGCCTTTCTTTTGGAATATTTTGGAAGATCCCCAATACTTTAGTCTAGACTTTTTATCATAGCTGTATTTAAATAATAAAACTTAGAAGCACTTGTTCATGATTTAATCCGATTATGTTTGTTCGAGATTTATGACAATAGACTTGGGATCCAAGTGACACACCTGGTCGCTAAACGTAGCCACGGTCACGGGATGGACGTTTTTACCTAACAGAGGTTTGGAATAGTTGTATAGCTCTGCTTAAAAATATAGTTGTAGCGGCACACGTGTTTGTCACGTAAAATAAAAAAAGGAAATCTCGGATGAAAAGAAAAATAAAGTATACAAAAATAAAAAGAGAATTTATTTTTGAACACTTGGTTTACTCTAATTACGATTTGGTTCTGAACTCCAGCCGTGACTTTCCAAGACTGAAGATCTTACAATTTGACTTCTGATTGGATCTGTTTCTTTTTTCTTTGTCATCCCTCAATATCTCCACTATCCGCGCGTTTGTTAGACGTCCGCGACCGATGCCACGTACGCCTTCTTCCAGAACATTCGGCGGAAGGACCTTTGGGATATCGATGGCTCATTAAGCACTTCGGCGACATACATTATCGTCGAATGCCGCCACATCTTTATCTCCATCATCAGTCCATCGGATTTGAAGTGTGCCGATCGTGACATGTTCGAGGACAAATCAAGCCACGTGTGGTTTTGCCTTGGAGTATCAATATCGTAGGACACACACATATTGTATTAATAATCAAACTCCGGGCAGAAACAATGTCGCTGCTTCGTGGAACCGTCTAACAATTGCAATTTTATCGGTACCCCTGGACCAATATAATATAAACAAACGCGATCGTAAGGAGAGGAGAGTTTTCATCAGTCTCATTGTCGTGCGGTCTCATCAGCGAGTTACACGCACCGTCTTTACGATCAGTGAATACTCTACGTTTTAACAAAGAGGTAGTTGAGTTCTACTTGTACTGTGGACAAGTAAGTTGAGTTCGACTTAGACTTTGGAAGAAAGCGCATTTGCTATTCCGTTGACCGTGGATTTGTTATTGAACCTAAGATCATTGTCATTAGCATCTCGAGTATCTAATCACCACGGTTACTTGTCAAATTTTGTAATAATCATATTTGTACTAGTAAATATTTTCTCTATTGCATAACAACAATGTCTAATCCAAATGAAGATTCGTTACACACCCTAATGAGAACTCGACATATATATATGTACAATATTTTTCTTTAACATTGAAATTATTATAACTGAATTTTCGTTTACACGTAAGGAAAAGATCGTGTAATTGTTACATTAAATTAATGCTTTATGAAATGATCGATTTTTCAGGTGAATTATTTTCAACGATATCTGTTAAAATATTGTTGGTAACATTTTCCGACTTTTCTCCGGATTCGTTTTCCAATGAAAAATTACCAATTTTGAATTTCATAAATCAACGTTGAACTTTCGTAATATTTGTATAAACTTTGGCAAACGTGAAATTTATGTTTTCAGTCACTTGTCCAATGGATATTTCGATTATTTGACGAATAATGACATACCAATATTTTTTTAATAATCTCTTTACGCAGAAATTTATTAAATTTTGTTAACGCCAGAGAGAGATAATTATTTGTTATTTTTGTAAGAAAAACAATGCTGAAATACGTATGACATGGAGCGTTAATTATTACTATTCATAAAAGTATAACAATATTCATTGTATCTTTCGTAATTATGTTTGAATTAAAGAAATATTTCATCTTAAAAGCTATATTGTTAAATCTTGAAAGCTAGGTCTTTTCAAAAGAATTATCGTTGCATTCGAATTTCTATTATTCATTTATTATGATGTTCGAACGTGATGTTGCCTGGACAACCTATTATACAAACGCTTTCTGTCGTGCAACGTTCCATTGTGCCCTTTTGAATTAAGATCATTATACAGAGCTTTGATTATAGCAGTACTATAATATTAATGGCGTAGCGCGGCTCGTATGCATGGAATTTGGTCCAAATCTAACAACGCAACGTAATCGCCCATGGAGCTTCGTAATATGTAGTTAGAAATTAACAGGAAAGCGTCAATAAATTGTGGAACCGAGCTCTAGGGCAATTAAACCGCTTCAAGCGGTTTTCATTTTTAATTTCATCCATTTAAAATGTTATTTGCTACCTTTGTTTACGAGAAACAAATTCGTTGTTACCTTCTGTGTATTAATTAGAGATTGATATTTACCAGATAAACGTGAGGTATAAAATAATTGCAAACACTAAAGTTAATGTTAAAAATAGGGAGTTATGATAAAGAATAAAGATGGGAATAGGGGAAGATAATATGAATAGATTGATAATTTTAGGTTACGTTAAAAACAGTATTAAATATATATATTATATATTAATATATGTAATATATGTAATATATATATCGTAATCATTTGACAGTTTATGACAATGATGAAAATAACAATTTATTTTAATTTTCTTAAATAACACGACACTTTTTAGTGGTTAGCGTTATGTAAAAAAATAAAGATAGACACATAAAGACAGAACATTTAACTTCAGTAATAAAGCTAGAAAGTTTTGGAATTTATTAAAAAACGGGAAGAGGCAAGAACTTGCATAATTTAGCCAGCAAAAGATACGAAGATCGCTTTTACTTTTTATTTCTATCATTAAATTCGTATCTCATTTTCCAAGTCTTTTTTGTTAACAGTTATAAAAATTTGAAACAAAATATCATTTAATCAGAAAATTCTCACCTATGAATAATACTTTTGATGGAACGTGCGAGTAAAGTCTTTTTCATGATATTTTAAATCAAATTTGACATTTAACAAATTAAATTTTTGGATATTAAAAGAATATAAATGAAAATGTTATTTTCAGTGACCGTCAGAAATTGTTTTTCTCGCAAAAATACAACAGAGAGATTTTGTGATTATTTTTAAACTTTTTGCACCCTCGAAACGAACGCAAGCTACGTTAATATCGAAATAATTATATTTTTGTCGCTGTCGACCCATTATCTACTGTTCCATGATAATCTGCATAAGTGATGCGATGAAATTCCATTATCGTTACGGAAGTTTCTTCGTAGCAATAAGTTTCGGTTTTAAAGGAAACAAGGGAGTCGGGAATATCTTCATCGTGTAACTTTTTCAAGTAATTGGCGGTCATCCCAAACACATTTCTGCAAGGTACATCGATCGTCATGTGATCTCCCAACAATATCGTTTTCCATATTTAAGCTGTACATAATATCAATTTTTAAGTAAGCGCGTTTTTGTATTTTATATGTGTATATAATTTTCGTGACAACTATATTATACGAATAATTCGGGAGTGATTCGATGTTTATTGAAATTTTTGTAAATACCACAATCACGAATGTTTTATTTTTATTTGGGTTATTCCTAACTACAAAGCGCAAAATATCTTTTGTAAAATTGTAACACGAGATATAAATAATGAATGTTTACAAAAGATACAGGTGCATTCGTGTACATATTCTGTATGCCAATTAATACGATTTTATTTAATATACGAATTTTCTATGAAGATGCAAAATTTTATATTATTATTATATCGTGATTAAGATTAATTTCTCTCGTGTCTTTAAATATTTATTTCGCAAATATTAGATGTAACAAATAAAAGGAAAATAGATTTTATTAATTGTTATCTTCTCTCGAATTTAATTCTGCCACTCTATGTGATTTACAGGTGTGTCTAAATATAGACACCAATTTAAAGCCTCCGAAATTCGAGATAGATTGCCTCGAGAACTGATATACAGCACCCTTATACATCATAGCGAGTTGTTACACTACATGTATCATAAATCGTATAAATTTCAAAATAGAATAAAAATTACGTTTTCGCTCATTTCCTTTTTCACGATATTTCAAAACTGGTAAAATAAAAAATAATCGATTCTAACTTTTTTCTATAAATTTTATGTGGTATATACATCGAAATTCGAAAAATGAATTTCTAAAAATTTTACGCGATATCTTCATTATTTTTTCAAGTTTGCATCGTTTAAATATCCTCAAACCAAGGATTATTTTCTCTTATCGATCGTTTTTATTATATCTTCCTTTTCATAGAAGATATATCTGTAACTCGAGTCGTAATATTTTTTAAATTATATGAAACGATGCAAGTCAAATTTGCCACTGTTAAAATCATTTCAATGACAATTATTACAGTGGTCACACAAAGTCCCTTTTATTAGATGTCCAATAATATCGTTGTTTCCATGTGTAACAATGATAATTATATCTCACGGTATTGTTTTCACGTTTTGATGATAAATTCAGAAGGTTCTTTCGTCTGGGTCGCCGGGTAACCGACGTTCATGGAATTCGTTTTATTCTTTTGAAGAATATTCGATGAACCGAGCTCAAACAACCACGAGGACAACCAGAGATAACCAATCGAATGACAACCAGAGACAACCAACCGAATGACAGCCGTGCGTTTCGACATGGAAATACGTTTCTTCTTTTGACTTTAAGCGATTAGTTGGCGATGCAATTTTGTTTCAATTATTTTTATCGAAGCTTAAACGACGTGTAGCAGGATACAAGTAATTCTTTCTTCCTAACTTGGTCGATTTATTTGGATAATCATACGAAGCTCGTTCCTTTGCCACAAAGAAGTTCGATCGATCGAGGTTTTTCTTGCTCCCTTTTTATTATAGACGCGGAATATTTTTTACTATTAATGGCGGAATTTTATTTCAACTGCTGCATCTCTTTCAGCGATGTAACCGCACTACTGCATTTGGCAGGATTTTAATGAAAAAACTGACAGATTGTGGGAACCAAAGAAGATTCATATTTGCTATTCGAAATGCGATTCTTTGTGAATTTGCATTTGAACAAATGCAAAGGATATAAAACGCTTATTGTACTATGAGTATTTTCTTTTCTCTCTCTTGCTGTAGGTTCTTAATATTACAACGAATGCACGTAAATGATCTTAAATACCGATTTATCGAAGATATTTTCTTCAGATGTTTATTTGTCCATTTTGTAATCAATAAATTCCCATTCGTTCGTTCGATAATCTGATCGATCTTTTCCTTTTGTAAATACCGATTTGTTTGTATTCATCGCTTCTTCGCTTCTTCGTTTCTCGATTCTTCGCAAACGATAATCATCTTTAATCGTATTTTGAAAGTATTTTATGATCGCACGAAATTTCAAAACTTTTGATGATATTTCTCAAAAACATTTCGCTTTTGTGACATAAATGTTGCATAGTAAATTATCAAACGAACTTTCAATTTGACGTTGGTACCGATCACATCTGTTTCAAGGACTTTATAATTATAAGACAGTTAAATAGAAATTGATTTTTACAGTTGTCAGCGGGATAAAAGCTTTTAATTCGTTAAAATTTTTCAGCAACACGGCATTTTAATATCGCGGGAACACATTTGTTGCCTACGAACGCGCTATATATTAATCCATTTGTTTGATTAAAATCGAGGTTTTGACCTTTTTATCACCCAAATCTTTTCAATCCAACAAGCGAAATTACTTCGGCCGTGATACTCGAATAAAAACGGTATTTATTAGAGAAACAGGCGAATTGAATTTCGTAACATGGTTTTCTACGCTGAATCACAAAATTTTTCAAATCGCTAACTTATTTACACCCTTCTTCGGCACACACGTTTTCGAGATATGATTTTTCCACGAAAATTGAATTCTAAGCAAATCTCACATTCAAATGCAGATTATCAGCACTGTTCACATAGAGATATTCGAGTTTTACAGTCGAATGTTCATTTCTTTTATCGTTTATTGACTTTCAATGAAAAATTAAACACAAAAGTATTTAATCGAAGACATAATTCCCCGCTGTTGAAGAAATTGTAATTGTTTGCTTGAAAGAAGATCAAGAAATATTCATATTCCAAATAAATAAATTTCATCCTTAAGCAAAATTTACATTCCAACATAATTGGAAATGTGTACTTTCTACCAATATTTAACATAAAATAAACACAACCAAAAATGAACATTCGAACGAAAATCAAGAATCTCGTTAATATCGGAAATCTTGTCGTTTGATAGCAGTTCCTATTTATATTACTATTACGTCGTTCGTTAGTAATTACTTATATCATATTTATTTGTGTTACTATATTAAAAAAAATATGCGATAAATATTGATGAGAATTCGATATAAGAATAGTCGTATCAAAATATAAAATATAAAAGAAGTAAATTTAAATAAAAAGAAAACATAAAGAAAAATGAAATACAATGAACATTATTGAATAATTCTTAAATTCCACACGAAAACAACGCTTTGACAAACTAATATGAATTAAAGAGTACATTAACTTCGTATTTTAATCAGCGCTTAAAAAAACATTATCGCTAAGTTAAATCGCTAAATTAAATGGCTAAGAGATAACAGAAATTCTCACTAAAAAATACAACATGTGAACGGAAGGCAAATACTACACTTGAAAAGAAAATCGTGACAATTATCACGAAACAACCATAATTATCAACATTTTCCTAATCCAACAAACCGTAATTCGATGCAACAACACGAAGCAAAACTGTTGTTCACCAAGCAATTCAAGATTCAAATGAATACTGTACCACGTACTGTGTGAAAGCAAAAAATTTGAGGCGAGGAAGCAGCATAAAACCAGACGCGGTACTAGCAGCCAAGGATCACATGGAAAATACGATCAAATTGCTTACAGATGCTGAGCTGTACTACAAAATTTCATTTTAATGCGGAACAGTAGCAATTTTAACGGCCAAAGATCGCGAAGTCGAAAACGAAAACTCGAATGGAAATCACAATGCGCCTTAATTATCGCGATTCGCTAAAATCTACCCCTAAGTGATAAGTAAATAACACGATGCAAGTAACACAATGGGAAAGTGTTCACTCGAAGTGTTCATTCGGAAAACCAAGATCAACAAAAATCGATTGCAACTAAAATCACAGTTCGCGCCACAGGTTTGTTTTTCTTTTTTATTTTCCAGATTGATTACCCAATAGCCGCTTGTTCCCATAGAGTGTCGGCTTGGAGTGCGTGTCGTTCTCTCTCCTCGTACGGTCCATCGAGGTGAACGCGCGATTTCCACGGGTCGAGGCATGAACGCGAACTGTCGCACCTGCGAGGAGGAAGCCGCGTGCTGGGCCGAGCTTCGCGGTCGAAGCTCGCAACCCGACTGGCATCGGTGCTCCTGAGTACGACCAACTCCAAGGAGCGATCATCGACGCTGATTGACGCGTGTGCTCACCGCTCTCTGGCACCTTTCAGCTCGCCGAGATACCACGCGCTTATTGCCGTTCCATTAAAAACTCAAAAAAAGGCAAATTCTTCTCTCTTCACCTCTTTTTTCTTTTTATATTATCCGTTTATTCGGAATTTGTGATAAATCAGAATTTTTTCCGTAATATAGACTTTTAAAGAGGCAAATTCTTTCCCCCCTTTTCCTCGAATGTGGATTAATTAAAACTGAGGGTTTTAGGGCCAGAAGAGCGAAGAGAAGTAAATCGATTAGTTGCAACTGTTTTAATTCTTTACGTAGCTTAACGATAGTCTTTTACGTTACAGAAAATGATATCATAATTTTGTATATAGTATTTTTAAAACAGGTTCGAGACACAGACTGCTTTTATCGAACTGTTGGCAATTTTTATAAATATATTCACGTTTTATTTCTCTCATATGGGAAGTGGATAATTTTTATTTTTGTTGAAAAATCGATTGGCTGTTTCTTTTAGGGTTAGTCCATTGAGAACACTAAGTTCTTGCAGTTTCAGTAATGGACTAACGTGCAAATCAGCAATTGTGATCGTAATTTATGCGCGTTACATCATAGGGTTCTTCCATTAATTGCCTAGTACGCGCATAAACGCTACATTAAAGTAATTAATTCCAGATGTAATTAAACAAACGTATTGAACGCGTGTACGTAATTGACTAACCTGTAATTTTCCCTTTGCGTTAATTATGTCGTTGTTCATATTGTTGCTTTAAAGATTAGATAGCCATATGGATGATACCTAATATACCCAATCTCGTATCAATTTCAATCATCGCAGAAGAAGATATAAAAAAGGTATTGTTACGTTACTAAATGTATTAAAAAGATTTTTCGAAAATATATTCGATCAAATTTCAAAAGGTTATTTCATTAATAAAAGTCACTTTCCTTTTAAGCTTTTAAATATTAGATCCTTCTCATGTGAGATGTAATAAGCACTTTAGACATCGTAGTGAATTTAAAAGATAATAGCTGTATTACTGTATAAAGCAAGATTATTACGAGGATTAAGAAGAAGAATTCATGCTTTCCTATTTAAAAGCCAGACGTAATACATGAGATTTAAAGAAGTATAAGCTACTTAGTATCCCCGAAGAAAATAAGATTTAAATACCGACAATGGACCAATGCTGCACCAACGATTATAATAATCCATGTCTTTCTATATTATTATATCTACTTTTTGAAATTTACATAACTCCAATAATTACGATTTTATAGAGCTCGATACACACAACCTTTTTTAAGGGATTTGAAAGAAACGTATTAGAATCTGTGGGATTCGATAAGTATGTAAAATCCGAGACTCTTAGAACTTGATACCTTTATATTTGGATCAATAAGAGCCGAGACAAATACTACAGCAACTCGACGAAAGAATCGATAACAAAGAATTCGGAATCGTGACACTTGACAAGAAATATTTTTGGTCTCGCAGCTTCATCGCTGTGGCTATTTCTGTTGAAAAACAATCGTATAATAGAACTGTACGAGATATGTACTAAATGCAGTTATGCTAATAGCATTCTCCTCTGTGATCGTATATAATTTAAGTAAATATTATTTAAGTAAACATACATGAAATAATTTTGCTTATCTCTCTTCATTTACAAGCGGCTGTGTTTGACATTTTATCTTTTATATATAAATAAAATGAGACAAGCACGATATCTTTAAATTAACCTTTTTTGTTATATATAATATTTCGCATGTCAAGGCAGACGTGAAAATTGTCGTCACGATCATAGATGAATAATTGCACACGTTGAAGAAGCGAACTGGAATATTTTCGAACCTTTGGAACAGAGCACAGCGTATTAATAAGAACGCGATTAAAATTCGAAGAACCGCAAGTACGTGAAGATGGTCATTTTCACTATGAGATTATGCAGTTTTCTTCGAATCACACAATCATCTGGAACTGTCAATCTCCTTTTAGAGCATATTTTAGACTGACCTAGGATCTAGAAGATTTCTCACCCTAACTCAAAAGTTGTATTATTGTTCGCAGTTGAAATGTAGGCCTGATTGGTTTATAACGTAGAAGAACCATCTTCTGTTGACAGGATCTTAAAAATAGAACACGTTTATTTTTATTGACCGCAATGTTCGTGTCTACAAATCTGTCATGTAGATTTACGGATCGAAGGAGGAGAAAGCAGAGCACGTTTCTTGTTCCTGCGTCTAGCCATCTTTCCAGCCACGAACAGTACTCGCCTCAACACAGCCCCAAATTCTAAAGTTTCATCGTGCTGGCCCCGAGGCTATAGTAGCCGCCTCGGATTAGTTTTCGATCCTGAAAATTCAACTATCTACTGTAACTCTTAAACCACGAGATTTACGTCTGAGTATTAGAAAGATGAGGTGTTAGGATACTTCGACGTATTTTGATTTGGAAATTTGATTCCAGCTGTATGGATCCAAGAGAAGAACGATGTTAGACACAAAATGAATTGTCTTGTGAAACGTCTTGTAAAACGCACAGGATACATAAGATGTGATCCATCAAATGACAGATTTGAGGAAGCCTATTACAGCTATCGTAATTGTAACCGAGTCGTTCATGGGCCAAAGATTACTTCACTTTTACTCCACTTCTTGAAATTTGTGATATTGTAACGTCAAAGCACTTGGCTATTTATGCTATATAATTTCATCAATTTTCCATATTTTCTGTTTTGTGCAGTTAACCCGTTTGTTAACCGTTTGAGTCTCGAGCAGCGCGATCGCACTGTTTAGATTTTGTATCGAAAAGTCCCAGTACATTTAAACGCTACAGACGACTGACGGTATTTTGTATTTCATTGTTATCTTCTCAATAATTTTTATTGAACAAAACTCGAAATATTTAGAAACTGATAGTACGGATATATAATAATATAGATGTATGTCATAAAAATAACAAATATGACGAGCGCTATTTCGCCGCTTGTTTTTCTTCGCAATCGATTTAGGACATTGTGCTGTTCGGGATTTTTCGACCCTGTTTTTTCAGAGACCCCTGGCACTCAAACGGTTAAATAAGCGTCTGAACTGTCTAAAGTCACCTAATTACCTAAGGTAACTATTTGAAGATTGTAACTACCCAAAGTCATCTAAAGTTTGACCAGTTACTAATGACTTCCGTGTTTCAGGAATGCGAAACGAGTCTGAGGCGAGCTCGATGACTCTAGAATTAGGATAATTTGATTTCAAGACCCTCGTCTTACGATCAGAATCGGGGCGGTTTGAAGCTACTCTCATGAATTCAGCGTCACGCGAGAAGATTCCAAATAGACCGAGGTAGTGCTCATGTTTGTTCATGTATCACAATATCAAGATATATCGCGACTGGTTTCGAGACATCGATGTTACGAATGCTATTTGTTAACTGTTCTCCGGTGATTTGCAGAATTCTCTGCTACTGTAGAATGCATTTCGTTCTCCGAAAGACAGTTTGTATGATCAAGTTTTATATTGCGCGTGTATTTCAAAAGTGCCACAACTCTGTTCAACGTTTCAGTCCTGTTAGAAGAACATCAAAATCGTCAAAGGAGTATTTCAAGGGTTAAGAATGAACGTAATTATAAGAATAATATTTGATGGTTCTTACTTAGACTGTATTCTTCTTGTCAACATTATATTTTATAAGATAAATAATTTTTATTTATCTTATAAAATATAATGCAAGTCTAAAAATATTTTCCCGTTTTTCCTGAAAAATTCGTTTGTACTGTACCAGTTCTGAAATACATATACGACACGCTACACATTTAAGTACTGTCTGTGCTCGATTTTGTGAGTATCTTTAGTTATTCTTAAGCGTTACTTGCTTATTTTTATACTTGCTATACTTTTCAAGCGTCGCTTGCGGATTTCTTCTATAAAAGCTGCATTCACGATTTCGCAATAATGTTCCATAATTTTTTGAACTTGATATGATTTTAGATCATTACAGTCGGACCCTGCATGAAACTCTGATAGCTATAATAGAGCTTGTCATGATATGTTTCATGTATCGTATCAATGTGTTTCGTATCATATTTCATATATTTATCGCGATTCATTCTGTGCCTAATGAACCTAACACACAATTTATGTCGCGCTTATTTATTTTTACTACATTATAGATTGCCCCCCCCCCCCCTATATAATTAAATTAAATTAAGTTAGTCGTTTTAGTCGAATGTTTCATATTTCATGTTATTGCTTTCGTAGTCTGGTGACTAAACATTTTGGTTGCAAATATGCATTAAGCTTTGAATCTGAAGTATTATGTTTCTGTTATTGGATTCTAATCCATTTCGATAATACAGATATTAAAATAGATAGCAAAGTTTTGATATTTTATACCAAAGAATACTGTAATTTTGGTATTAAATTTTCAAAGTCTTTACTACTTGTTTGATATGATATCAGTTTTATTAATATGCAATTCTAAGGTTGTTGAGCGTGATCGATAATTGTTGACTCAATTCCGTTGACGGAACACTCAACCTTGGAACGTTAAATTAACAATTTACAGGGTTGAAAGTAACTAACAAAAGAAAAGGGACGCGAAGTGTTATTGAATTTGCTTTGTCTCTTGTATTCAGAATATCTAATTACCAACTACGAGAGATTTGATATTGTGTACAAAGAGCGAAGATTTATTTCAGAGAATAAAGAGATACATTCAAAATAGATAAAACGCTAAAACGTGCAGACTAAACTAAATAATATTACGTTATTTCTTCTATTTGCCATTATTCAGTAATAAATATGAGTAAATACAATTTTTTCGATCAATTAAATTAATTATTGTTTTAAAGAGATCTTTTGCTATTTACACATTCTTAAAAATTTCTACGCGCGTTCGAAAGAAAGTATTTAGCAATGTTTGAACGATTTAACACGTATCGAAGTCTAAATTAATCGTATTTGCAGCGTAACGTGACAATACTTACGACATTGTTTTTGCGGCGGGGGGGGGCGGCGCCTCCCCCCCCCCCCCCCCTTTTTTTTTTTTCTTTTTTTGTTCTTTTTTC